CTATCCAGGAGGGCTTTCTTCCCAAAGTGGCTAATTAATCAAAATAAATACCTGCAGTCAGGAGCCCCCTACTGTACTGTCTTTGATTTGTTCAGAGAAAGCATTCCAAGACATCTCAATTTATTGCTAGGTAAACGGCTGCAACATCACCCTGAAGAATACAGATTCTCAGTTGGAGTTGTGGGGAAACCATCACTCTCTCTTTTGGAGGCAGTATGCTTAAAAATCTCTTGAGGAGAATGTTCCTTTGCAGACTATGAGTAGCAAGTGGCTCCAGAAAGAAGAAAGATGTTTGAGAGAGTGAAGTCCACAGGAAACCCCATGTATCAGAGGTCCCAGGAAGGTTTCTCAGCTCTTCTGCTATTTTCTGGGGTTCCTACAGACATCTTCCTTCTTGTATGGATTCAGACCTCCTCTCTTTAACGGAGCAGACAGCACCAGAGCAAATACCGTAATGCACAGGACATTCTGCCTCCAAGGCAGGAGCAGATACTGCATAGCAAGGCATTTTGCTGTATGGGATGGAGCTGCCACTGCCTTCCATGCACACACTTGACCACTCCCTTCCTTATAATTCATACAACGGCTCTCTCCATCCAGAGGGACATCTAGAGACAGAATTAAACCTCGCACGCCAAGCTTCCAGTTTGAACCTGGGTCAAGCAATCCCTATGGAAAACTCAAATCGAGGCTAATTTGAAGGCCACCATTTAAACCCACTTGACTTTTAATGCACTCCTGGCTCTGCACAAATCCCTCCTAAGGATAGTATATCCAGACTGGATGACTCTACATATCAGCGTGGAACCACCATTGGCCAGAATCTGAAAGATCTTTGAGTGTCACCATTCATCAGGAGAAATATCCTCCTTCACCTTCACCCTTTGTATCATATTATGATGTAATAACCAATGGTCTCCAAAATCTCTCTTTTGAATATGTTTGCTCTTGTCTTAATTTCTCAGTTGTCCACTATTCCCTCATGAATTTGGAATCTATTGCAGGAAAAAAAACAACTAAACAAACAACAACTGATCACAATAAAGCTTACTAGAAATTAAACTGATGCAGCAAAAAACATGTCTGCTAGAAGCAAACAAGATAAAAAGACCAGTTTCATGGGTTTACAGAGAAATGAGAAGAGCGAGGGACCAGAGACCTAAATATTTGTAACATCCTGTCTCCAGATCAGAATGCAACTCAGATGCATAAGGACTACACACCATGGTTATCTGCTACTTGAGGTACATTAGTAAAGCCACTTACAACTTTGAGTAGTTTCATCAAAAGCAATGTTCCTCTGTTTGAAGTTAGGCAAACAAGTATCGAGCTGCATCAGCTCCATTTTGTCAGTCATTTAGGGAGTCTGGGGGTCAGGAGTTTTGCCTGCTGTTTTTGTGGTTTGTTTTTTTTTAATTAAAAAAAAAAAAGAAACAAGAATCATAGAATCATAGAATGGTTTGGGTTGGAAGGGACCTTAAAGATCATCTGGTTCCAACCCCCCTGCCATGAGCAGGGACATCTTAAAAAAAAGTTTCCCCTTGTCCTATCACTGCACACCCTTGTGAAAAGCCCCTCTCCATCCTTCCTGTCGGCCCCTTCAGGTACTGGGAAGGCTGCTCTAAGGTCACCCCAGAGCCTTCTCTTCTCCAGGCTGAACAGCCCCAACTCCCTCAGCCTGTCCTCATAGGAGAGATGCTCCAGCCCTCTGATCATCTTCGTGGCCCTCCTCTGGACCTGCTCCAACACATCCAAGAAGATGGATTTCACTCTCTGGTTTTGTATTTCCTACCTACCTGTACCAAGAACAAAGACATAAACCTTCTAAAAATGTTTAAGAGGTTTGATTTTTTTCTTTGGAAGTTTGGGATTTTCTAGCAGTACTGTATCCCTTTCTGTGCCACTTAAAATGGCTCTGTTTTGTAACTGATAGAGGTGCCTTGAACACGTGTCCACAACAAGGAGCATTGTGTGCTGTTACAGTTGTTCAATAGCTGCCCAGTCCCAGACAGATGGTGCTTTATCCTCACCCTCTCTTCAAGACAGCATAATGCCTTGTCCTGTCAGGGATTAATGGAAGTGCCACTCACAGTAGATGCTAATTCTGGTAGCAACTCTGTTACTACACTACAGATGCTACAGCTACTGCTTGCAACTAACGCTTGAAGCAGGCACTCCACACTGGAGGAGAAGCAGGACACTCAGAAACCAAAGTGAGGAGCACAACGCAGGAATCTATGCAGAATGCAATGTCACAATCAAGGGGAGAGAGACACCTGAAAAGGAAGACAAGGATGATGGGAAGAAAACACCACAGAGAAACACAGAAGAAAAAATGACTACTGAAGATTAAAGCAGACAAAACAAAGATCAGGAACCAAATGGGAAGTTAAAACAAAAGATCCAACACAACAGAGAAAGTGCCAACACATCACACCATCAGAAAACCAGAACTAGAAACTTGGCTCATAACCGGGAAGAGCAGCTGAAACACAGGACAGAGTGACGCCAGTGAGGAGAAGTTGTTCTGCAATTGGATCTTGCTCTATTGTGCACCCCAAAGCGTTATTGCCTTATAAAGCTACATATGAAGGTTTAACCTCTTGAATACGCACACAGTTGAGTAGTGATCATCAACAAAAATACAAGTTTTGAATCTGACTCCTGTATACCTACTCCAAGAAAAATATACCAGGAGAGATCTGCATAAACACTCTAAAAGACAGACAATTCAGAGACAAGTTTTCAGCTCTCTCCTGGATGCTCTCTTTTTTGTTTAGATAAGAGATTTCAGATTCAAGACTAATTTGAGATGCTTCCACACGTGAATAAAGTGGACTGAGAAGCACCGAGGCCCAAAACAGCTCCTGCTACATCCCTTTTGTCACATTTTCCTTCCAGCACTGTGCTCATTCACCATGTACATGGTCTGTACGTGGCACAACGGGAGAGAGGAAATCCAAGTGTTGGACCTCTCTTTCTGAAAACTCACTGGGGCATGTGAAATCTTTTGTGGGTGAGAGAAGCTCCTTCAAGTTTACACAAAACTAGTTAGATACTCCACACAAAAATTCAAATAACTAGCACTATCACATCACTAATTGGTCAAGGGAACACAGGCCTTTCACTCTGCATTTCAGAGAAGGTTTCTTCTAGGAGAAAGGGAAGAAAGGGAAGGAAGAGGCTATTCAGAGATGTTATCAAAGCTGAAAAAACAGACCCTGGCAGCAGATGGTAGATGGCAAACAGGAAGATTTTGTGAAAAACCAGAACAGTACAAAAATAGTGGAAAGAAGAAAAGCATTAGGACAGCAGGAAATACTAAAGTTTAAAGATATACAAGAAAATACATTTACACTGTCCGTTGCTCCATTAATAGATAAAAATGGAGCAAAGAAGTGCAAGGGATTTGAAAAAGCAATAGCAGTCTCTCACTAACAAGCTTATGCACCGACAAGCAGTTTGAGTGCAGGTCTTGAAATTGTATATTAGACCATAATGTTTTCAAATTTCTTCTGAGGGCTGGAGAAATGGGGTATACTGTTAACTTCTCACAAGTCTCCAGTACTTTATATTAAGAAGCTATGATCGTGGTAAAAAGCAGATGAACTATTAAACAAGAAAACTACCTCTGGTTCATAAAGTCAATGAGCTGTAAATCACAGGAAGTTGACAGGCTACACCAGGAACTTCAAACTGCATACTTTTGCAGTCCTCATGCTCTTATTTGTCAGGGGATCCACACCTATTGGGCACTAAGAATGGACTAGATGGGCCAGACGTGTCTTTGGTCTGACATGATTGACCTTTTTTATGTCTTTCTCTATAACTTTCTTTACTAAGAAATGACACAACAAGGAGATGGAAGAGAATTTACTAATGATGATGTGTTTGGCAGCCACTATACTGGACTAAACAAATCTTGGCTGCAGCCAAGGACAATGCATGTTGATACTCCACTCATCACTCCATGCTCCAAATGAACACATTTTAGTGACACCCTTCCAGGCTCAGACTTCCTTACACCTCCATTTGCAATAGTCCTTACTATTCTGCATCCGGACCTCACTTTAATAGTCCTTATTGTATTGTCCAGACACCTTGCAGATTGTTAAACTGCATACAAATTGAATACCAGAAGAAAATAGTTTTTTTTTCTCTTTTGTGGTCCAAAGTAATATTCCAGATTCAGAGCTAGATGATGAACTTTCCCCTCTTGGTTACTATCTCTGTGGGCTTTTTTTCCATTCCTTGTGCAACTCTGGCAGTGCAATTACTGCCTCACTTGCAGTATGCCCCTGGATTTCAGTACCAATCCCACCACACTTTAATGTACTCTAGAGGAATACTTGTACCACCTAGCTCTAAAGCACCTAAGTTGGTCATAGTTGTTAACCAGCTAGATACTGCAAGCTCTCTCTTTAGTCCATAGGGCAAGACCAGATCCTTCAGTCTCTTTCAGACCAAGTATATTACCATAACCTGCAACTCTTGCTACTCAGGCCATGAGATTTTTATATGCAGAAGCTCTTAGTGGCACTAAATTTCACACCATGCTACCGAACTGATTTCAGCGTTAATCCAAGATAACTTCGGTTCAAGCCTTTAAACATAATCCACTCTCCTCTGCTACAAAGGTGCGGTCCTGTAAGAGTCACAAGAGATGAGTTCATCTTCATGAAAACTATATATCATCCTTTAAGCCCCACACACTTATTCATAGGTGAAGTCCTATGCAGTTGTGTGAATAAACTGCAAACACTTACTATAGTTCAGCTTGCTTGATCAAGATTAATTTTACAAATAACACATGCCAGCCCCAACTAAACGAACTAACTGAACAAGCACTTGATGTCTAGGAGTGAACAAAGCTTGAGCAACATCGAAGTTTCATTTTTATAAAGCCTTTTTTTTTTCCACCACAACTGCATTAAAACACAGCTCACAGCTAATCTTTAGTCTTCAGTCTCATTTTTAATATGCTATAAAACACATCTTACCTTGATCTTCTGAAGACACCGGTGACCTGGAATAAAACAACAAAGTCCAGTCAATCTTTGGTATGTAAAGGCCATAAATAAGGTTCAGTGTCACTGTGGGGAATAGAGTATGGAGGAATTGGAAGGTTTTATTCTTGAGCTAACTTAGAAGGGAGGGCTGGAAGGCACCTGGTCCAGAGAAGAGCAGAAAAGGGCAGAGACAGAGAGCAGGTTCTGCAGACCAGAGCAGTCGTATGGAGTCATGTCCATAAGGCAGCTGGCAGCTGCACCGTTTAGCACTCATGCCAAGAGTTTCCGTAGGTACTTGGTAAAGAATTTATCTACTACTGTTACTGCTGGAAACAGCTGACATTACTGTTGAAAAAGTCCTGATCTTTCGGAGATTACTGAAGGGACCGTAATTAAGTGTGGGCCAGGAGGAAACCTCACAGCTAGGGGTGGCTGAGGAAACTACAGCTTCACAGGAACTTGCAGTCATTAAGGTGGCCATTTTTCTTACCATGAGTTAAAGTGGTGGGGAGCATAAAATACTAATCATAATTAATACCAGTTCACATCATCTTCACAAAAGCAACATAAACAGACAAAAAAAAAAAAAAGAGAAAAGGTCAGGTCAGATGTAAGTACAGTAAAAAGCAACTTCACAGCAGCAACACAAGAGTTACAGGATGCCCTAACCAGTGGCTTAAGCCTCTGACAATACTGCCAGAGAGTGAGGGGTTACAAAACATGAGGGACCTCTCAGTGCCCCTGCTGACGAACAGAACAGCCCCACTGACTTCCAGAGACTTGTGTCACAGCTCCCACCTCTTAGGATCACACTCCTCATCATTTTGGTCAGCACCCACAACACAGGAACATAAAGAGGTGTAAAGTACTGGCCCTCCATTTTTCCCTTTGCTGCCACAGCTTGGCTTAGCAAAACTGGGGCTAACAGTACAGCCAAATCTGGGCTGTGCCTCGGTTATTTAGGCCAGATTGACAGCGCAGAGTGGACTGGACCACTGCCTCAGCACCTTCCCAACAAGGATTTTCAACTGTGTATACAACCCTTCCACTTGGGTAACGAAGAGTTTGTTCCTGCAGTGAACGGGACAACTCCTGCTTCCCCTCCAAGATACATTTAATTTTGCACCAAGGTCAAAAAATAACAAATTACTAAAGATTTAAAAATGTTAGTGTTGCTAGCAGACAGATCAAAGCTGACATAAAAAAACCAGCCAGGTCAAAAAATAACAAATTACTAAAGATTTAAAAATGTTAGTGTTGCTAGCAGACAGATCAAAGCTGACATAAGAAAAGCAGCCACAGAGAGGTGAAGGGAAAAGAAGGAACAAAGAGGAAGAGAACACACGTACTTTTAACTGAGTCAGCAGGGGTTGGGGGCTGAAGGGGGGGGAAGGCAGGGTTAGAAACCCTGGTTTTAGAGGAATAAAGGAGCTGAGGAAGGAGTCATGATCTCATTCCATAACAGGGGTCTGAAAATGAAGGTTGAGGGATTACAGGACATCAGAAGCAGATATGCAAATATGTAGATGCAAACAGGAAAGATGGAAAGAAAAAGAGGAAACTTTGCTAATGAGGTATGCAAATTTTTATTTTTAAAAAAGGGAGAGATTTGCAAAGAAAGAGAGGAAAGAGTTACAGCACAGCTGGAGCAATGGTCACCGTGAAAGGAAAAAATGTGATTGCCTAATTAAGATTCTGACTGTGCAAGAAGCAAATGTGTCTATATGGATCAGAATTAATTAATCCTCTACTCCCATTAAATCCTCTGATTGCTGCTGAACACCCTAGGCATGTATCCTGCTCTGCTGCCAACCCGACCAGCTCTGTCCTTGCACTTCAGCCATGTCTGTGGAAATACACTGGGAACGCAGGCAACCCAGAGGATTAGCAGGCATCACTAGGGCTCTGTCCCACTGCTTTGACCAGTTAGTTACAGGCCTTCCTCCACAACGCCCAGCAGAAGCCTCTCTGAAGGACAAAACTCAACACACAGTGTTTCCTACAAGGTTAAACAGTGCAGAACGGTCCATACCAAGAGGTGCAAATTTTTAGGTATTTAAAAATATCTTTACACATGCAGGAGTCAGGCCAGGTCCCTCAGCTCACATATCCTGACTCTCCACCCATTGCTAATGCAGTATCCCAAAGCACCAGTAGAATTTATTCCTTTGTTTTGTTTCTTAATTGCACAGTTTCATCATCTTTCAGATCTTTATTTGAAACAATAAAATAAACACTACAGATTATCCTATAATTTAACTCTTCTTTATGCCTGGTAAAACAGATGTCATTAGTTCCTTAAAGCATCAACAACAGGAGAGACACTATTACAATCCCACCACCTTCTCAATTAAAACATTGAAAGGAGGGATGAAAAGTATGTTTGTGCATATTTAGTGTGCCCAAAATCAGTATACATTTTTCTAAATACTACTGCCGTGTACCTTTTGTTGCATGCCTTGAACACAGTGGCTGAACAGTAAGAAATCTAACAGGTAGTACTGTTGCTGCTAGCAGTGTTTTCATTTGAAAGGCTTCATCAAGCACCTTTTGGAACTGCATAGCCTGGTATCCTGAGAAAACAAGGTTTACATAATCACAGCATCTTGATGTGCACGTATGCACCTCTCTGCCTCACCCTAATAAACTTTGAGCTTTTTGGCTCATTTCACCCATTGCTAACAGAGGGGTTGGCGCTCCAGTTCCTGCTTTCACAAGGGAATGAGACAGCAGAAGCTCAAGCTTTCTGATGTAGCTATGAAGCCACAAAGAGAGGTTCTGAATCTCTCAGCCACAGGAAAGCGTAAACGAGACCTTCCACCATTGGAGATACCAAAGGTTCAAACACAATAAACTAGGCTTCCTTTGTCCCACTGCTGACGTGAAGTATTTCGGCAGAGCGGACAGGGCTTTCGACATTCTCCTACAATTTCAGGCCATATGTTTTAGCAGGGGGGAGGTTTTCCAAACCATTCAAGTACTGGCCTGACTCCACCAAGGGGAGTCTTGCTTGTAACTGTAACGTAAGGCAGTGAGGCTGCTGAAAAGCCCACACCAATAGTGTTGGGCATTTTACACATTGTCTGGTCTACCCCACGCTTATGACAGGCTCTAAGGGAGGAAGGAAAGGAAGTCTAATGACCTGCTCTAAACAACATACCCTCACTCCGCAGCCCCAGGGGACTTTCCTGACAGCAAAAAAATCCAGTGGATGCTCATATTTCTGGTCACACATCTTCCTCTCAGGTCCGTAAGAAGTGTGAGGGATATACTGCGGCAGCACAGGTTACCAGACGACTCTCCTGAGAAGGGACAATTCTCAGCTGCTAACATACACACAGTAACCATCTATCCAGCACCTGTCAGCTGCCCTCTGAGTATGATTCTAGCTGTGTGTTTGGCTGTCATAAAGAAGCAAGTTATCATTCTCAAAACCACCGTGCCTTAAAAAAAATAGAGACAAGTCAGAGATACTTCTGAAGAACTCATATGCTGTCAAGATCTGTGGTTCCACCTGGGTCAAAACATTTTGCCAAATTAAATCTTGAAGAGGTTTTAATCTGGTGAAACAAAACAAAACAAATCAAACCCCCAAAACCTTCAGGAAAAGGTTTAGGCACTGCAATATCCTGTTCTTGGCCATTTCAGAATGGAACCGCTTATTTTTTATATCAACTGTTGCTTTTTTCTAGTTTTATCTTGGTGTAAAATTAACTTGTAGAAAGAAAGGCTCATCAACCCCCCTACCCTCCCAAGAGAGTAAAGATAGGCCAGATGGTCTACGACTGGCTACATTTCCAGAATCATAAGATTAAATTAGCTCTTCTACCAACAATGCTATTTTCTCATGCATAAGTGTGAAAGGGAAGCCCAGTTTCAAATATTTTCACCAAAGGCATTAATCTACCATTTGGCCTGTCCTGGTTTGACAGATGCTTCAGGAAGAGCTATTGCCTCAGTAACTAGTTAAGGGGAAGACAAATATTACTGTGACGATAGGGAAGGGGATCAGAAAGGAGCAGGAGACAAAGTATGCTGTCAACTCCATTTGCTTTCCATGTTGTTCGTACCTTTCCTTTTGCTGTAGGTCCTACCTTAGTGTTCTCCTCCTGTCGCAGAAAGGCAAGCTGTACTCCAAAGAGACAACAACAGCACTTGCCAGGCTCAGGCTGCAAGGGGAAGCTGCACATTGCCTGTTCCACCACTCCTCACGTAAGCAATGCAGTACCTTTTGTGCTTAACACAAAATGCAGAAGGATCTCCCAAGAAACGAGGTACAAATGTTTAGATATGCATAAAATCGCTTGAATAATAACGTAAAAAGCCCCTACTCATACATTCACTACAGGCTTCCAGCAAATTGGAAGACTTCTGATGCTGAAGGCATAAGACATGCCCACCTAAAACAGCACTGTGCCTCAGAGTTACTGGCCTGATCCAAAGCTCACTGGAATTTTTCCACTCACTCTTACAGGCTTTGGATCAATTGCTGGCAAAAATCTAATCCTCAGTATATCCAAGACAGCCTTCAGTATCCTACAAGCCTTCCCCAAACAGCCAAACACTCACAGCTGTTTCCAAGCACACTCTCCAATGTGCAAGCACCAGATTCATTCAGCACTGGAAGGGCTGAAGAGGGAATATTCATTTCTAAGGAGGGAAGGGCAGGGACTGTCACAATTTCAAGCCTAGTCAACCGAGGCTTGGGAACCTAGAGAAATACAGCCAGCCTCCAGCAGATGAATTCTAACAAAATTTCAGCAAATGGGTACATTATTCATGAAGACAAAAGCCTCTGGAGAAACAAACCCGGAGCTGATGTAAAGCAGCTATTTTAATCAATAAACCTGTAGCAGCAACCATCTGCACCAGGCCCATTTAAAACCAGCCATTTACAATTTAAAGGGCAAATAACAATCTGCATGCAGCAATTCGGCTGTTTTTTATCACCATTCCCCTTTTTCCCCCGCTTAAGCACCGTATTTCTGCAAACTTTCTATTTCAGTCTGAAAATAGC